ATGCTTCTTTCTTCCTTAATCTGGCGCTTGGCTTTGGTGGGACGAGTATTGAAAGGATCGAGAGTCCATTTTGATGATTGATCGTGTGGGTGTCACTTCTCGTGAGCTAAGTTGACTGTTCTTTTTGTAGAAGTGAGGATTTTGATACCATGCGCTTGTTTGTATAGATGAGTGCTTCACTCGTGTGATTCTTGGGTTTTGATAAACGGGATCCCTGAACTTCCCAGTCTTCTTGTCACGAGACATTTGTGAGGGTTTTCTCGGTCTGATACTAATGTTAGGCTCCCTGAGAATCTGGATTTGACTATTTGACTTCTTGTAAACTGAGTCTCAATTTGTTGGCAAGAGTCGACTATAGTGGTGACGAAATTCTACAAGTAGCATGATGTCGTATACTCATTACACCTTTTGACTATTAGCTCACACGATTCATGGACACCAGTAGGGTGTTTATCTCTCGATTTTAGCAAAACACGTACGCTCTCAACACCAGTGGATGCTAAATTTATCGATGGTAGCATGGTGTTTATAATCGCTCAACACCAGTGGAGTGTCCCAAATCTCAACACCAGTGGGGTGTTCATAATTGCTTATCATAGCAATCTCATGGCTTAACTTGAAAATAAAATTGGATTTGGATTTTGATGGCTTTCACTTTAGTAGTAGATAAATCCATTTTAAAGAGAGCATGAAGTGGCATTCATTATTTTGATAAAAACATTGATGCAAATTCTTAAGTTAAGATTGATACCATTCACACAATGATCCAAAGAGGTCGAAACGTGAGGGACCTTTTATTTATGATGATAAAAGCAAAAGCGATACATATTTTGCTATGGAAAATTATCTCGATATTTTATTTAGGGTTAATACCTTATTTTGGCCTGAACTATGACCATATAATCAACTTTGGCCCGTGGTTTCAGAAATTAACATCCTGACCTCAACTATGCAGCATATAGACTCAATTGGCCCGACACATAGTTTGACCGTCAATTTGGACGGTCAACTCACCATGTCATTGCCTAGTTAGCCTAAAAATCATTAAAAAATGCATATTCAAATTATGTTTCTAATTTTTCTTATTTATTATCAAATTAACCAAAAATAAATTATAAAAAACATAAAATAAATTTGATTTTTTTTTTGGATAATTTGAAAAATGATAAACTTTATAAATTAACCAAAAATTAACAAATTATTTTATATTTTTAAAACTTCGCACAAAAATATAATTTATATCATAATTTTTAAATTTATAAAATTAAATTTGATAATTTTTGGTTAATTTATAAAATTTATCATTTTCAAATATCCAAAAAAATTATTTTTATATTTTTATAATTTTATTTATTGGTTAATTGGAAAATAATAAATAATAGAAATTAGGAATATAATTTGAATTTAAATTTTTTTAATGATTTTTAGGCTGACTAGGCAATGACATGACATGTTGACTAACGGTCAACGGAGTTGACCGTCCAAATTGACGGTCAAACTATGTGTCGGGCCAATTGAGTCTATATGCTGCATAGTTGAGGTCAGGATGTTAATTTCTAAAACCACGGGCCAAAGTTGATTATATGGTCATAGTTCGGGCCAAAATAAGGTATTAACCCTTTTATTTACTAGATGGGACCAACATCATCCTTAAATCGAGCTTTGCCTTGTAGTATGTCTACTAATTCCCGTGAGTTGGCAGTGGGTTATTGTTGACATCTGGACGCTTTGACTCTTCTTCGAACTTCAACCAGCCGGCGTTCATCATTTGTTGGACTTTCATCTTAAGCGATCGACAATCCTCAGTCGAGTGCCCTGCGACTCCTGAGTGGTAAGCACAGTGTTGCTCTGACTTGTACCATTTTGGATATGGAGGTTGTATAGGCTCAGATGGTATTGGGGAAATTAGGTGACTTTGAAGGAGTTGAGGAAAAAGTTCAATGTATGTAATAGGAATAGGTTCAATTTGGAGAGGCTTTTTGTATTTCCCATAATTACTTTGTTCTTGGTTATTTGGCGGTGGTGCAACTCGTGTCGGGCTCTGGATGGCTCGTTGAGTAGGAAAATTTGGACGTTGATTAATTATTGCGGCATTTGCAACATATGGATGAGCTTGATCTACCTGAGGTTGATGATCCCACCTTCTTCCTCTTGATGACTCCGTTTGAGCATAATGGGGGTCTACTTCTCCCCTTCGGGCTTGGTGTGGTTTCTTGGAGGCTTCTGGAATTTCCATTCGACCTTGTTTCAAACCTTTTTCTATTCGTTCTCCGATTACTAGCAAATCAGCAAAGTTGGTTGTAGTAATTCCTACCATGTTGTTGTAATACGGAGCCCTTAGTGTACCGAAGAAGATTGACACCATTTCTTTTTCTGACAATGGAGGCTGAACGTCTGCAGCTTTCTCTCTCCACCTTTGAGCGTGCTCTCTGAAAGCCTCCTTCTCATTCTTTTCCATATTCCTCAGATCTTCTCGGTCTGGAGCCAGATCCTGGTTATGCTTGTAATGTCTCATGAATGCATCGGCTAGGTCTTGCCACCTTTTCACCTTTGTTTTCTCTAATTGCATATACCATCTTAGTGCAGAACTACTCAAACTGTTTTGGAAGCAATGTACCATTAGCCTTTCATCTCGGATGTGGTTGGCCATTTTATTGCAGTACATGACCAGATGACTCTTTGGGCAAGTGGTGCCATTGTATCTTTCAAATTCTGGCATTTGAAACTTGTGAGGAATCACGACATCTGGAACTAGACATAGTTTTGATGCATCCATAGGCTCATACGATTCAACTCCTTCTATTCTTCTTATTCGTTCATTCATGTGTTCTAATTTTTCTTCCAACAGAGCTTCGATTTTATGTTCCTCTTGCTTCTCGGGTTCTCCAGATTTGTCATGTTTTGATTACCCAATGTCACCTTTGTCGCCTGTGTTCTTCGAAGGTATGAGGATGAATTTACTACCCGAGACGTTTCCCTGAGGTTGCTCATAGTGATCGTCGTCATCAAATACGATTTCTTCCTCGTTCATTGCAACCTCCTTTCCTTTTCTGGACAATATGCTCAATATTGTATTGAGCTGGCTTTTCATCTCATCGAAACCAGTTAGTTTCTCATCGAACCCCACTAGCTTCTCGTCAAACCCTGTCAGCTTTCCTTTGATGTCGTTCAACTCTTTTTGAAATGCCTCCATGAAGAACTCGAGCTTGGATCTAGTTAAGTACTTGAAGTCTTGACTCTTTTCTTGTGGACGAGCAATTTTAAGGAACCCTGACCAATTACTTTTATTAAATTGACTTAAATGAGTAATGAAGAGTATGAATTATACTTATGCGATGCACAGATGATTCATTGGATTCACGTGCACTTTGAAAATTTTCTCATGATTTATTTTGAATGCATAAGCAAAAAACAAAGAGAGAATAATGCTCATTTATTTTTTTCACATTGTTTACACAAACAAATATATTGCGATTGGAAGAAACATACTACAAGTTATCACATCATTAACAAACATATATATAAATAAAAGAAACAAACATAACCCTATCTTTTGGTAGACCTAGGGCTTTCGGAAGACATAATGACGTAGTTTTAGGGTTGTTTCGGGAGTATCTTTGATGGTATAGGGAGGCCACTATGCTTACTATATGCTGGCAGAGGAATTCCTATGGATTTGGCTCCCAAGTTGTATCCTGCCATAGCCCTTACGAACTGGCTGGATACCTCAAGATCAACCTCGGATCTGAGTTCAACTTGGTTGGAAAGTTTTGCGTGGTTTCCACTACTGTGAAAGTCACGGTACTCCTTTTCCATTTCTAATAGGATAGCTCGGGTATAGAGCTTTCATGAATGAATGCAGAATTTAATTACGAAAATATAATTGCGCAAATAGTAAAGTAAACACCCAACACGTAATAGAAAATTAGAAAAACTTATCGAACTTAATTATGTAGCTCGACTCTCGAAGTCCCCAGCGGAGTCGCCAACTGTCGCAACCGTCCCTCCGGGGGGTCCGATGTCGTCGGCATTTTGGGAGTCGCCATCGATCTTACTTGGAGTGGATCGAACACTCTTCGAATCGGCTCCAACCTTAGGGTCAGAACCGAGATATGGTCTGCGAAAATAAAGTTCTGGGTTCGGGAGTACGGTTACGTGTGGGGAAGTTAAGCAACACCCCACAACGCCCTAAATCGGTACTACTTAAGTCTGATAAGTTTCTATGAGTTGGGTGTATTTTAGAAAATATGTATTTTTAGGGTCCCACTGGACCATTTAATGATTTTACCGTATTAGTTGTAATTAAATTATACGCCCACCGACGTAAAATTAAAAGATAAAGTTAGTTGATTAGTTGGACTCGAACCTTATCGGTTGTCTACGTACCCGTTAGACGGGATCAAAGTCCACGTAGTTCGTTGGTGACTTTGATGATTTAGTTGTAACCACGTTCCACTGATCGTGATTCTCGCATTAAGAATTTTGTTAATAAAATATGAATAGGTTATTATGAGGTTGTTAAGAGAAACATAATAATTTTAGTTGTTAGGAAGATACTTGGTGCATTAGAAAAGAAACAGGATTAACTTAACCCGCATCTGAAATTTCGTATTAAGGATATTAAATAATAAAAAGAAACTGATTGATTAAACTTACACCAGATGGACCAGCAGCCCAATTGGTTAAGTAGCTGGACAGAGTTTTTCATGAGAAGGTAGCGGGTTCGATACCTCAGCCTTCCTCTAATAATTTTCGTTTTTCAACACAGGGGAAGGGCATTTTTGTACTTTCTTGAAAACGCGGTGGCAAGGAGTCGCAATTTTAAGGAAACCCTAAGGGTAAAATCGTCGTTTTAAACATAATGGTATATAATCCTCTCAATGGAACCCTAATCCATCCTAAACAGAGGCGTCTGCCTCCACTCTCCCTCTCTCTCGGCCGATTCTCTCGTCTTCTCCAGAACCAACCATAAACCCTAACCCGCCGCCTTCTCGCCTCACCTCGCCTCGCCTCTCTCTCTTCTCGTTTCCTCCAAAGTAAACCGAAAACCACAAAAAAAACGAAGAACAATCGCCCTCTCCCTCTCATGATTCTCTACTCTGTTCTCTGTGCTCTCGGTTAGCTAAGGAGTCCGCTCGTTCCGTACTAAATCAACCGAGAGGGTTTCGATATAGGTAAGATCGAGACATGCATGGTCTTTTCGATTTTTTTTTAGGTGATTTTTATTGGGATTCGGCTAATTTTCTTTTGTCTCCTTGTGGCTCTTTGAGGATTGGTTTTGGACGAAGGGAAAAGAAGCAGGTAGGAGACAGCTGCAGCCGCCGGAGCAGGTGCCGCCGCCGGGAAGAAAATCTGCCGCCGGCGCAGGGGCGGACTCTCTCTTGGTGGGTGTAATTTTTTCCTTCTTGTTCTTGTTTGAATATTTACTTACGCTGGGTTCTAATTCTATTTTTTCCTTTTGCAGATTTCGAATACCTAGAGATTTAGGTGAGGTCTCATAACTAGGAAGGTTAAACTAGAAAAAATTTAGTTTGTTTGTAGATCCGAGTTTATGGTAGGGAAAAAAAAGGTTTCGTTGGTTTAGATTTGTGAGTCTGCAGATCTTTCATTATCTACGAATCTGGTTTCTTGGCAAGAATGGTGATTTTAGTGAGCTAGGAAATGATTTACAGATCTGATTTTTAGGAAATAGGTTGTTATTGCCTTCGGATATTTTACTCTATGAATCAAACTACTAAAGAATTAAGGTAGTTAAAGAATTAGAAGCTAACCAAAGATCACCACTGCTGGTCATTAAGCTAAAAGAAAATAAAGTTTTTACTAATCTTATTGTTATTGGCTTGATTGGGATTTTATGGGTTTTTCGATGGTTTTTTATGTAGCTTTTGATATACTAGAAATTGGCGAAAATGATTTTTCTGTGATGGAGATGTAATTAACATGCTCTAAATTGCTTATCTTAGCGATTGCCACTGTTAGTGATTTTGCTAGACTATGGACTAAATCACTGCTACTGCTTGTGGTTTTTATTAGATTAGAATTGTTGGGTGATTTGAAAACGGGCAAGGATTTATGGATCTGAAATTTTAGTGAGGTATGGTGATCGTTGGATCTGGCTCTAGACCAGAACCAAGAACTTCTAGAAAAAAATGGATTTAGCCTATTTTAGCAGAGCTGCTTCGAATTTGGATTGGATTCTAATGTTTGTCTACTATCTTCTAAAAAAGAATATGAAAGCATGACGGGAATTTAAAGAAGCATAGAAATTCTTGAAATAAGAAAATCAAATACTTAATTGAAATGAGCTTAATCCGAATAGTGAAGTGCTTAAGGGAAACGCATAGCAGTAAATGGCTGTAAGTAATAACTTTTAAGGAAATAGCTTAAATAAAACAAAATTCTACTAAATGAGAACGAGAATTGGATTCGACAAGAACTTCTTGAGAAATGCTATATCATTAATAATAGAGAATTAATAATAGAGAAGTTTAGGGTTTACAAGTACCGACCTGATAGTCAACTTTGGATCTGAATTCTCGTTCGTCCACTATTACAGCCTTGAACATGGAAATTTTCAAAAGAGAAAGGAAAAGTATTTTTTTGTCACTATCGATATTTTCCCCCCAGCTCCCCCTTCAACACAGAGCCCAAAGAGCTCATTTATAGCAAGAATTGTGCGCCACGTGTCATGCTGCGATTGATGATGAGCATGACATGTCTCTCTCTGATTGGTTGATCCTCAAGGCTGCATATGAGGCCTCCACCTTGCTTAGTCTGTGATTGATGATGAGCATGACATGCTTCTCTCTGATTGGTTGATCCTCAAGGCTGCTTGTCAAGCCTCCACCTATGAAAGTTGGTGCTGACTAACTGCTTGGATAAGATTGGGCCGAGTTGGGCCTTGAATTCGTTTGGGCCGGTACTGGGCTTGAACCTGGGCTCTGTTTTGGGTTGTACTCTGATCATTTTCTTTTTCATTTTGTAGGTTTGTGATCTGGTCTGGGCTCAAAGAGAGGAGAAAAGGAGCCCAATGACTTTAATTGATGAGTCGGCCCAGTTTGAAATGGTGTTCAAACTTCAAATTTTGTTGTTGTTATTAGTAACAGGCAGTCATTGTAATTAGTTTTAGTTCATACTTTGTACAATGTGTCAAATTTAACCATAAAGCTTCCGCCTCCATTTCATCTATTACGCCCATGTTCTAACCTCAAGCTTTGCACCTCTATTATTTTTAGAAATGATGTTTAGGATTTGCCACTGCTAATCCTATTATCTCAATTAGTTCGATCCTGTGATCTCAGTTAAATATTTGGTGTTCAAGACTTGTCATTGTTAATCTTAATCAAATTGATCCTATCTTAACTAATTATGCCCTAAAATCGACTAGGAGCAAATTTGATAATTGTTGGTTCATATTGACTTGCAATTGCTAGTCTCAACCAAACTATCTTCAGCTTCCTTTTTAAATATTATCGTAGTACGACGTTAAAATAATTATTTTCAGTAAAACAATTATCCCGGACAAAATGTGGTGTCTACAGATTGCAAGTAAATAAGTTAGTTCACCACGTGGCGTCTTATATTGGCTTTGTAGTAGGTTATTTTGTTAATCATCTAGACTTTTATATTCGGGCTTCGAACTGGAATGATGAGTGTGCTGAGTATGGACTTACGTCCAGACTAGCCTCGCCAAGGTTTCAGCCTTAAGATAAGAGATGAAAAGAGTAAAACCCTAGTAGTAAATGAGTCCCAGAGGGAAGGAATCCTTTTGCATAGTTTCTTTCTCTACTCACTCACCACCTTCCTTGAGTGCATATGGGAAGTCGAATCTCAATGACTGTTAAAGAAGAAGTACTCGTTCATTTTTTCGCTCATACCATTTACTGCTCTGCTCTTTGATGGGTGGCAAGTTGATAGATAGTGATGCTATTTTTGCATGCAACGTGGAGCAGAGAGCCCAAATCAATGGATTAGAATCCCCCCCCCCCCCCCCTCAAAAGCATGCAAAACGTTTCAATTTGTGAAAATCAAAGAGGGATTGAAGAAGTCACATAATCATCAAATCCCACATGCTGCATTTATATGGGCTCCAATTGAGGCTGAGCTAATTTAAAGAGATGTATTGTTCATAATAAGTTTACTTATAGTGGAAGTTTGATGGAGTTGTAAATTAGATCCGGTTCATGTTCAGTCTAAATGTAACCTTGCCCCATTTGGGTGGCTTTAATTAATGTGATCTCAAGCTAACACGTAAGCAAAGGCTTGTGATCTGTCTGGGCCAGACTAGGGTTCTAGTAAAGTTTACAAGTGTATACGTTCTGATATATATACCTGGTGGCTATAGCTAACAATCATCCCTTGTTTCGGGCATCCAATCCCCTATTTTGAGCATCCAACCACCTCTCTACAACACTAGCCCATTTCATATCTCTCTCAATATCAGTAGCCCGCCAATCCCCTGTTTCCCACTTCCTCTCCTCGATCGGAAAAATGTCACCGCCGGTTTCCTTTCACTTTACCCGCTGTCTGATTCCATTCCTCTTTCTTGCAATTCACCTCTCTTTGACCACCACACAAATTCTCAAGTGCTGCGAATTTTCGGCCATGTACAATTTTGGTGATTCGTTGTCCGACACCGGAAATTACCTTGTTCGGTTCGATTTCGGTGGATCCGGAAAGTACCCCTACGGGATCAATCGGTCATCCCGTAGTTGTAACCTTAGTTGTATACAAATGTGGGAGGGACGACAAGCTGCAGTTAGCCGGCCGAGGAGCGGCTGATTGCAAGTAAATAGAGTTAGTCCACCACGTGGCGTCGAATATGGGCTTTGTAGTTGGTTCTTATGTTAATCATCTGAACTTTTATGTTTGGGCTTCGAACCAGGATAATGAGTGTGCTGAGTATGGGCTTACGTCCAGCCTAACCTTGCCAAGGTTTCAGCCTTCAGGTAAGAGATGCAAAGAGAAAACCCCTATTAGTAAATGAGTCCCAGAGAGAAGGAATCCTTTTTGCATAGTTTCTTTCTCTACTCACTCACCACCTTCCTTGAGTGCATATAGGAAGTTGAATCCCAATGACTGTTAAAGAAGAAGTACTGGTTCATCTTTTCGCTCATACCATTTATAGCTCTGTTCTTAGTGATATACTGATATGATGATTGATGGGTGGCAAGTTTTATAGATATTGATGCTATTTCTGCATGCAACGTGGAGCAGAAAGCCCAAATCAATGAAATAGAATGTCCCCCCCCCCCACCCAAATAAAAAAAAGCATGCAAAACGTTTCAATATGTGAAAAGCAAAGAGGGATTGAAGAAGTCACATAATCATCAAATCCCACATGCTGCATTTATATGGGCTCCAATCAAGGCTGCGCTAATTTAAGGAGATGTATTGTTCACAATAAGTTTACTTAGTGGAATTTGATGGAGTTGTAAATGAGATCCGGTTCATGTTCAGTCTAAATGTAGCCTTGCCCCATTTGGGTGGCTTTAATTAATGTGATCTCAAACTAACACGTAATCAAAGGCTTGTGATCTGTCTGGGCCAGACTAGGATTCAAGTAAAGTTTTATAGATATTGATGCTATTTTTGCATGCAACATGGAGCAGAGAGCCCAAATCAATGTATTAGAATCCCCCCAAAAGCATGCAAAACGTTTCAATCTATGAAAAGCAAAGAGGGACTGAAGAAGTCACATAATCATCAAATCCCACAATGCTTTTAGTTGGTATTTTAACAATTTGTGTGAGTATTAATTGCTAAGTCTGATAAAATTATGGTTTGTGATTGATCGTAGGGTTGAAGCACACTAGCTACGCAAGATGTTGTGAACCAAGGAGCACAAAACGTGTGGTGACCAGTACCCCCTTCTGCAAGGATCCGTATCATTATATATGGTGGGATAACTTCCATTTCACAGACCATGCATATCAGCTTATTGTGAGGAAAGTGATCCCATGGATCTATCGGGATCTATAATGTGCCAAATATAACTCTACAAGCTTCAAATCGGGTGGAGTTCGTGTTGCTGAAAGCATCCATCAGCAGCACCTCTTGTTCTCGTTTGCTGTAATGATTGTTATCTTCCTTTCTGTTCTCATGCTATAATGTATCGTGGTTATATGTACTAATGGATCGTGATTATATATACACTAATGATCAAGGTAATTTT